TCCAAAGATCAGCATTTATCTGAAATAAAAAGCTTTTGTAACATTATACACTATACCATTCAAAAGCTTGGAGTAAGTACAATTTTCTTTTTTCTTTTCTTTTTTTGGAAAAGAAATTATATAAATTAATCTTTTTATTTAGCAAGGATGCTTTAATTTGATCAAAAGTGATGATAACGACATTTATAATGCTACAAACTATTTCTATTTCAGATAAATGCTCTTCTTCTGATTTTTCTATTCATTAAAGAGAACTGAAAAAATTCTACTCCGCTGTTTTCAACATAATATTAATAATGATAAAATGTTTTTTTAGTACTTTGGATCAAATAAATTCAGGCTTGGTGAGCAGAAGAGACTTCTTTAAAAAATCTCACTGTTTAAAAACTTTTGACTGGTAGTGTATATATTGCAGTTCGGTACATATTTTGGTTGCTTAAGTTTTTAATACACTCTTTTACATTTTATTTTTAGTTAGTTACTGGTTGATTGCTTTTGAGACCTGAAAGGTTTTTTTTTTTTTTGGCTTAACTGCTAGAGCACAACACTAGCAATGCCAATATCTTGAGGGCACATATCATTAAAACATACTTGCTCAAGGGCACCTCAGTCGTGGTATTGAAGGTGGGAGAGAGCGCTGTACATTCACTCCCCCCCACCTACAATCCACTCCCCTGCCGGTACGAGACTCGAACCCGCAACCTTTGGGTTACTAGTCTGATTCTCTAACCATTAGGCCACGACATCCCCCCCTGTACAGCATTAATTAGAGTACAGAAACACATCTGATCTTACTGTCTATATGAGGATTTATTACACACATTTATTCTGACATGTTATTTCACTGAGAGAAGTTCAGCTGCAGTGTTAATGTCATGAAGAGAAAAAGAGACTCTATAACATCTCTGTTACTGATTTATCAAGCAGCTCGAAGCATTATGGGTAGAATCCCTCATCAGTTCTATTCTGATTCATTAACACAGTTCCACTCTTGATCCCCTAGAAACCAAAAACCCAGGATAGAGCAGCTGAGTGAATGTGGCCTGGACTGTGTGGATGAGGCTCATTGTGTCAGAGACGCTGTAGAAGGACGGAGTTCCTGCACTGTGATCCACATACACTCCTATTCTACTGCTGATGGACTCTACAGGGAGATCAGTCACCTTGTTATTGTGTCTGAATAAGTATCTGGGGGGATTGCAGTGCAAACTCCAGGACTGATCATTAGATCCAAACAAATACGCCTTACTCTGTCCCTT